TATGGGATCTACATCAAAGGAGTCAACTTGCAGATCTAAGGATTTATCTTCTCTGCTCGCTAGGTTCAGAAGCCTGCAAAATGTTTTTGATGTAACCATCTGGTTACCTGGTTTGCACCCCATGTGACAATGCAAAAGTAAGATGGAACTGAGGATAAACCAGGCCTGTCCCTGTTTCCCAACCACCTCCCAGTCCTGTTGCATCCCAGACAGGACCCCATACAAACACGAATGACAGACAATATCACTGACGACTGTGGGTAATCCATGGCACCTCCAGAGTCACCATCACAAGATCTGGATGTATCAGCAACTTTTCTTTATGTTATAGAGGCAAATTGACTCACATTATTTTAAATAGTCAAACTTTGTTTTGAAAATGGGGGGATGTTGTATTTGTGCATTGTGTTGAAGAGAGTTCACCTTTAAACACGCAATAAGCCATGCATATGCAATGTTGCGATTCGGACAGACAGCTGGATTGCTGTGGATTTGCAAACGGCACATTGAGCAATTAGTTGGTTTCCTGTCATGTCTGCTTTCTAATGTATGCATTTTACTGTTTTAAATAAACTAGTCCATTCAATTAATCAATCTTTGACAAGTAATTGATTATTAGGTGATTAACATGACAAGAAGTCAGCTTTGATATTTATAGAAGGATTGGATGTTGGAAAACTGGCAAGTTTTGAAATTTTAATCTACGATGCCGAATGGTGACAAACAGTAAAAATGAAACCAAACAAGTGCAAAACATCATAGATTGACTGGCAGAATGGACAAATAAGTGATGGATGGAATTTAGTACAAAGAGATAATGCAGAATGGAAAAGGAGGCAAGGCAATGGCCAAGAGTAACATTGTTAGATTCTTAATCCAGAGAACCCAGGTACTGTTCTGTCAATGCAGATGGTGGAATTTGAATTCAATTTAAAAGAGATTCTAAATTTAAAATTTTAATGATGACTGTGAAACTGTTGCAGATTGTTGGAAAAATCCATTTTGTTCACTTATGTCCTTACCTGGCCTAAATGTGACTCTAGACGTACAGCATTGTTGCTGACTCTCTGTGTAATTAGGGATGGACAATAAATTGTTGGTCGCACCAGCAATGCCCACATATATGAATGAATCATGATAAAAAATATGGCACATAATAGCACAATTTTAAAGGAAGTTCTGTGTCAGAGGATCCTGAGGATTTATGCATATAGGTCTTTGGAGGTGGCAGAACATAATGTGAAAGTAGTCAGCAAAATGAATGGCATATTTGATATCATAAATAGATTAATTGAGTACAAAAGTGAGGCATTGTTTTAACTTATTATAAATCTCTCATAAACCACACTTCAGGAAGCCTGTGAAGGTGCTTGAAAGAGAGCAGAAAAGATATTTTAGAATGGTTTCAGAGAGAAGGAATTTTTGTCTGATTTTAGTTTGGAAGACGGTGTTTGTTCACATTGGAATAAAGGAGACCGAGGGGGGAATTTGATAGAAGTGCTCAACATTATGACAGGTGTATAGTGAATGTTCCAGTGTTCTCCTCCAAAAATAGTGAAAGATGAGGTGTCAAATTATTTTGAAAGGAAACTGGATTGACAGTCAAAGGAAATAAAATTGCAGGGCAATGGGGATAGAACAGGAGAATGTAACTGATTGAATTTCTCTGCATTAGAATTAGAATTGGAATTAGGTTTTAATGTCATGTGTACTCAAGTACAGAAGCACAGGTGTACAAAGTGTACAAAGTCACCACTGGTGCCATCTTAGGCACAAAAACCCAAAATTTAAAAAAAAACTCACCTAGATACAAAAACCAAGACAACCTTTTAAGATACAAAAACTAGAATTAAAAAAAAACACAAAAATTTAAAAAACAAAGCCAAGAAAAAAAGAGGGTAAGTCTCCAAATCTAAAAGTCTTATCTCTGTAAAGTAAGTGGGCCTCCTTCCTGAGAGCCTCAAGTCTCAGTGCTGCCACACTGTCATTACAGATAGTAAATTCAATTTGATGGAGTGAATGGCCTCCTTTCCTACTGTCATGAAGTTATAGATAACATTTAACCATCCCAAAGGTGCTTCAGAGTTCAATAGGGCTGTGTTATTGGGCTGAAAGGTATGGTGTGGAGACCCCATCTTCTTTCTACCTTCCAACTTCATCCCAATTAGACCACGGTGCGAAGGCAAAGAATGGCATTACTTCTTAGTATTTAACTTGTTGGTATTATCCCCCAAACCCAATCCCTACCTCTCTTCCCACCCCAACTTCACTGTGATCTTTCAATTCCGCCCCATAAGTCTGTTCTCTAACAGAGCTAGAGGTCACCAATTAGTGACATCAGGTCAAGCAAAGCTGGAAATTGGCAGAATGCTCAAGATAACTCTGTAACATGTAGAAATAAATGAATCAGAGCTAATGAAAGGCAAATTATGCTTAACAAATCTATTAGAGTTTTTGAGGGTGAAACTAATAGAATAGATCACGCAGAAGCAGTGGATGTGATATATTTGGATTTTCAGAAGGCTTTTGATAAGGTTCCTCATAAGAAGTTAATGGCAGAATTAAATTCATGGGAGATGGGGTAATATATTGGCATGGATCAAGAATTGGATGACAGGCAGGAAGCAGAGAGTGGGAATAAATGGGTCTTTTTCCATATGGCAGGCAGTGACTAGTGGGGTACAACAAGGATCAGTACTTGGTCTCCAGCTCTTCCTGACGTAAATGATCTGGATGAGGGAACCAAATGCGACATTTCCAAGTTTGTTGGTGACAGAAAACTGGATGTGATTATGAGTTATGAAGAGGAGATAGGGATGTTTCAAGGCAATTTTAACATGTTAAGTGAAGAGTCAACTCCAAGGCAGGTACAGTACAAAACAGCTAAATATGAAGTTATATAATTTGATATAAAAAACAGAAAGGAATTTGGGCCGGCTCAGTGGTTAGCACTGCAGCCTCATAGCACCAGGGACCCGGGTTCGATCCCAGCCTTGGGCGACTGTCTGTGCGGAGTTTGCTTGTACTCCCCATGTTGCGTGGGTTTCCTCCCGGTGCTCCGGTTTCCTCCCACAGTCCAAAGATGTGCAGGGTAGGTGGATTGGCCATGCTAAATTGCCCGTAGTGTTCAGGGGTGTGTGGGTTATAGCGGGATGGGTCAGTGTGGACTTGTTGGGCTGAAGGGCCTGTTTCCACACTGTAGGGGCTCTATGATTCTATGAAGGGTATACTTAAGTGGTGATACATTGGGAAATGTGGCTGCAGACAGGAATCAGTGTGTCCTTTCACACCAATCAGTAAATGTAGACAGGCAAATTCAACAAGTTATTCTGAAGTCAAATTGTACATTGGGCTTCTTTGCAGGAGTATTTGAGTTTCGAAGTAGAATTTTCTTAACTGCAGGTATACAGGACCTTGGTAAGACCACACCTGGAGTATTGTGTGCAGTTTTGGTTTCCCTACCCATATGGGAAGAAAGCAGGAATATGGCATTGAGATAGATCATCAGCTATGACTATATTGAATGGCAGAGGAAGTTCAAAGTTTCAAATAGCCTCCACCTGCTCCCAGATTCTATGTTTCTATGTTTAAAACTTCAAATGCAAGGCCCCAGTCAATCAAATCATTCACAACAGAATAGCATAGCCAAAGCAGTACCATAATTTATTTAGAAAGAAAGTGACAAATCTTATTTTGCAAACTGTGATTATATTATCTCCCTTTACAACATGCAGAACTTACTCACAGAAAATAAATTGTATAAATGTTGCGTACAAAAATTGTTAAAAATCAAAGGACAGTTTATTCAAACAAATTCAGACCATGAGTGGAGGGGAAACATTCCTTTCAAGTACAATTTACTGTTTTGTTGTGAGTCCTAACTGCTATGACCTTGTTTATCCAATTCATAGAACATAGATTAAAGAACATTACAGCACAGTACAGGCCCTTCGGCCCTCGATGTTGGGCCGACCTGTGAAACCAATCTGAAGCCCATCTAACCTAAACTATTCCATCATCATCCATATGTTTATCCAATGACCATTTAAATGCCCTTAAAGTTGGCGAGTCTACTATTTTTGCAGGCAGGGCATTCCACACCCTTACTACTCTCTGAGTAAAGAACCTACCTCTGACATCTGTCCTATATCTATCACCCCTCAATTTAAAGCTATGTCCCCTTGTGCTAGCCATCACCATCCGAGGAAAAAGACTCCCACTGTCCACCCTATCTAATCCTCTGACCATCTTGTATGTCTCTATCAAGTCACCTCTTAACCTTCTTCTCTCTAACAAAAACAGCCTCAAGACCCTCAGCCTTTCCTCATAAGACCTTCCCTCCATACCAGGCAACATCCTGGTAAATCTCCTCTGCACCATTTCCAATGCTTCCACATCCTTCCTATAATGCGGTGACCAGAACTGTACACAATACTCCAAGTGCGGCCGCACCAGAGTTTTGTACAGCTGCAACATGACCTCATGGCTCCGAAACTCAATCCCTCTACCAATAAAACCTAACATACTGTACGCCTTCTTAACAACGCTATCAACCTGGGTGGCAACTTTCAGTGATCTATGCACATGGACACCGAGATCTTTCTGCTCATCCACACTACCAAGAATCTTACCATTAGCCCAGTACTCTGTATTCCTGTTACTCCTTCCAAAGTGAATCACCTCACACTTTTCCGCATTAAACTCCATTTGCCACCTCTCAGCCCAGCTCTGCAGCTTATCTATGTCCCTCTGTAACCTGCAACATCCTTCCGCACTATCCACAACTCCACTGACTTTGGTGCCATCCGCAAATTTACTAACCCATCCTTCTACGCCCTCATCCAGGTCATTTATAAAAATGACAAACAGCAGTGGCCCCAAAACAGATCCTTGAGGTACACCACTAGTAACTGAACTCCAGGATGAACATTTCCCATCAACCACCACCCTCTGTCTTCTTACAGCTAGCCAATTTCTGATCCAAACCGCTAAAATCACTGTCAATCCCATGCCTCCGTATTTTCAAACAAATGAGTATAAATGCCAGGTTTCTTCGGTTTTGCACAGCCATCTCCTGCTGAAACAATGCCTCTGTATTCATATATTTTTCGGAACTTGCTGATTTTGCACATGAGTGGGCCACCAGAGTCTCCCTGAAAAAAATTGTGATCAAAAATAATGTCAGTCAATAGTTTCAAATTATTCAGGTTTCAAATTTGGAAAGTCTTAATGAATCCAGCCTGGTATTAAAGGTTTGTTGTTAAGATTAAGACCCCAATTTTCATTCCCAGGTTAAGCCACAGAGCGGAAGAATTTGTTGCTCTGTTAACCCCACCTTTTACAATGGCTACCTGCGTTGCCCAATTTTAGTCGAGGGAGTGGTTTGGATTTAAAGTTGAGCCAGGTGAACTAGGAGGTGTTGAGGAGATTGCCAGTTGTCGAGGCACACTGGGTGGAAAACCTGCCTTGGGAATCCAACACAGTGTCCCAAAAATGGAAATAAAGGAATATAACATTACTCTTAAACTCTTGCTCCTCATACATCCCTCTCTCCCACAGTCCCCATGACCCTACCATGCCCATCCAGGTGATCTAATGTCCTCTATCTATCTCACGTGGTTCTTCATATCCACCATACTACCATATGACACTCTACCCATCCCCATGGGTTCTTTGTACCCCAGTGTGACCCTCTGCCCTTCTACCCATTTTCCACAGACCCTCATACTCTCTATACCAACTTAGTGCCAACCCTTTCCCTCTTCATTTACCATGCTAACTTATTCATTAGTACTTGTACACGCAAGTGAAAAAAGAAGTTCCATTAGTTCTTTATTTCAGACTATCCTCTTGAGAAAACACTGACATTCATAAAAAAATTACATTTTTGACACATATTGACAATTCTTGACAGTACTGAGGAGTTCATGCACTAGCGTAATCTTTACTGTTAGCAATCTGAAGGATACCTAACTATTCCGCCCTCCCCACCAAAGGCTATTTGATCCTTGCAAATGTGTCCCAAGGCCATTCCCATGGGGGCACCTTCCCTTGCTAAAGGGGTACCTTAGCTATCCAAACAATTCTACAAAGTTGAGGCTTCCTCTTAGCAGGTCTTGTGACACTTCTCTGGGTTCCATGGTATGGTGTTGCCAAGATCCCGCTTCAATAGAGGCAGCTGGTGATTTAAATGGCCAGCAGCTACTGTAAAATACTGGCCTGACTTCACTCTCATCCAGCAAAAATGGGAAAGGCTTTATTTGGGAGAAGAACTGGAAATATCAAGACTCATCTGTCATTTTTGCCCCTGTATTGTAGTGAAAATTTGGTACAAAGTGCAATTTCCTGGGTACAATGGTGAGGTTAGAGTGGAGCTCATTAAATAAGTCAATGGCTTGTATCTATTGAGGAGTATAAAATAAGTAGTCAAAGACCAAATAACAAACAAAACCACTCCATACAAATATAGATTTTTTAAATGGTTTAAGAAACTTGTGAAATAATTTTTCGCACATCAAGATAAAAGCACTAAAATTTCCTCAGCATTCACCTGATCAGCTATTGTAATTTAGCAGAAGTTTGGCACAAAGTCCACTTAATTGCATACCCTGGCTGACAAATTAACAGTGGCTGACTGAGTGAACATTCAGGAAAATTATGATGAAAGATCCTACAACAACAAAATACAAAAATGATAGCCAACTTGCAACAAAGGGTTTATACCAAAATTAGAAAAAGAAGTCAATCTGTATGAAGCACGAAAGCAGAGAAAATAGGAGCACGAGTAGGTCATTCAGCCCTTTGAGCCTGCTCCACCGTTCAGTATAATCTGGTTGGTCACCCAACTGTTCTGAAGAGGAGTCGTCGGACCTGAAATGTTAATCCTGCTTTGTCTCCACAGACACTGCCAGACCTGAGGAATCTTTCCAGCAATTTCTGATTTTGTATTCAAATCAGTACCCTGTTCCCACACTTCTCCCCACACCCTTTGATCCCTTTAGCTCTAAGAACTATGTCTAACTCTGTCTCAAAATCCTTCAATGCTTTGGCGTCAATCACTTTCTGTGAAAGTGAATTTCACAGGCTCACTACTGTCTTGGTGAAGAAATCTGTCCTCAACTCTAATGGCCTTCCCCATATCTTTGGACTGTGAACCCTAGTTTTGGATTCATCAGTCATCAGGAACATCCTTCCTGCACTTATCCTGTCTAAATGTGTTGGAATTTTACAGGTTTCTTTGCGATCCACCTCATTCTTCTAAATTGTGGTGAATATATTCCTCTTCATCTCAGTCCTGCCATCCCAGCAATCAGTTTAGTAAACCTTCATTGCACTCCTCCATAGGCAGAGAATCCTTCCTCAGATAAGGAGACCAAAACAGCACACAGTACTCCAGCTGTGGTCTCACCAAGGCCCTGCACAATTGCAGCAAGATATCCCTGTGCCTATACTCGAATGCTCTTGCTATAAGGCCAACATGCCATTTGCCTTTACCACCTGCCATACCTGCATGCTTATTTTCTGCTCTGGTGTACAAGGACACCCAGATCCCCTTTCTCCCCTCTCCCTTTCTTAAACTATCACCACTCCAATAGTAATCTGCCTTCCTGTTTTTGCTATGCAAGTAGATTAGCGTATATTTATTCACCTTATACGCATTTGCCCACTCCTCCAAGCTTGTCCAAATCAAATTGCAACACCTCTGCATTCTCTTTACAGCTCACTCTCCCATCCAGGTTTGTGTCATCTGTAAATTTAGACAGATTATTTAGTTGCCTCATTTAAATCATTTATATTGTGGATAGCTTGGATCCAAACACTAATCCCTGTGGTGGTCCACGAGTCACTGACTATCACTTGGAAAAAGACCTGTTTATTTGTACTCTTTGTTTCCCGTGGGCCAACTGTTCTCTACCCATGTCAGTACACTATTTCCAATTTAATTTTGAATGCTATCTCTTAAGTGGACCTTAATGAAAGCCTATGAAGATATAAAGGGCTTGCAGCAAAGAGATAGCAATTTAGTTCCAATCTTGATTATCTGAAACGGAAACTCTGCAAAACAGATCTAAAAGTTGTAAGCAGTTTGAATAAATGTGAGAAAACAATGTGAAGTGAAGAATGAGACCAGTTAAAGGAAGTGATGGTGTGAACTGCTCATTTCAAATACAATGCCGTGCCCACTCTAGTTGCATGTTTAAACAATAACATATAATAGCAAAGCCACTACTTTTCTAATATAAGATAACAAGGTGTAGAGCTGGATGAATACAGCAGGCCAAGCAGCATCATAGGAGCAGGAAAGCTGACGTTTCGGGCCTAGACCCTTTTGAGATAAGATTCATCGGTTTATATACAAGTAAAAAAACTGAATTTGTAATTTACGTAAATATGGGTAGCTGATGTTGTGTTCTGATATTTGATGCAACCCAAATCCAAACCAACCAATTATTGATTTAAAAACATAGTCAAAAATGCCTTAAAATAGGTCAAACTGGTGAAAAATAGGAGAGTGAAATTTGGCTCTGAATAGCCTGCCAATTGGGCAGTGGAGATGCTATGTTAAATGGCATTTACATCACATACGCACACCTCTGATGTTAATTGTCTACAGCTACAGAGATTAATGTTAACTCTGCGTAAGTAAAAGAGTTTTGAGTGGGTTAAATCAGACCATTAGTAAAGATGTTTGCACACGCACACTGGAAGTCTGCTGGAGCACAAGAATATAAAAAGTAGGGAGTAGGAGTAGACCCATATACTCCAATCTATGTAAAGCATTCAATGTGATAATAAATCATCCTAAGTTTCAACTCTATTTTCCACCTACATTCCATATCCTTTGATTCTCTGAGAGATTGGAGATTTTATATGCTGCTAGCAGGAATGTGTCCAACTTGGAGGGTCTGAGAAATAAGGCAGGTACCACCCTCCCACACACCCCTGAGCTGACTCCCATCACACAAGAGTGGGTGGGTGCTGAAATCGGCAGCCTGCCTGCCAGATTTGAATAAATCACAGTACATTATTTAAAAAGGTAATAGTCGAGCTTGTTACAAGCTCAGTTGTTCCTGGTAATACCGTGCCAGTGCGCAGAGGTTTATTTTCTTGTTTTGGCAATCATTCTTTCCATCTCTTCATCAAAGTCTTCAATATAAGTTGTAAACAGTTGAGGTTCCAGCACCAAACCCTGTGGCACACCATTCATTACATCTTGCCAACCTGAAAAATACTCCTTTTTACTTACTGTCTGCTTCCTGCTAGCCAGAAAATCTTCTCCCCATGCCAATATGTTACCCGCTATTCCATGAGCTTTTATTTTCTGCAATAAACTTTGATGTGGCACCTTATCAGATTCCTCCTGGAAATCTAAGTACAGTACATTCACTGGTTCTCCTTTATATACAGCATAAACTTCTTAAAGAACTCCGAAAGAATGGTCAAGCATGATTTCACTTTCACAGAGCCAATGTTGACTCTCCCATTTTGAATTCATCCAAATGTCCTGCTATAACTTACTCAATAATCGCTCTGAATACTTACCCTAAGGCAAATTTTACACTAACTGGCCTGTAGCTTCCTGCTTTCTGTTGACTACAATTTTAAATAAAAGAAGCTACATTCATTCTATTCCAATCTAATAGGATTGTCCCTGCATCAAGGGAGTTTTGGAAAATTAAAATTAATGTATCAATTCACTCACTAGCTATTTATTTTAAAATAGGATGAAGGCTATTAAGATCTGTTTACTAGTCAGCTCATAGCACGCACAAATTGCGCAGTATCACTTCTCTGGTGACTGTGATTTTCCTGAGTTCCTCCCCTCCTTCGATTTCTTGATTTATCACTGCTTCTGTGATGTTACTTGCATCCTTGTGAAGACTGATGCAAAATACTTGTTCAATTCATCATAATCATACAGTGTGGAATCAGGCCATTCGGCCCACCATGTCTGCACTGACCATCCAAAGAATGTTCCACCCAGACACACCTCCCCCACCCTATTCCCAAAACCCTGTATTTCCCATGGCGAATCTATCTAATCTACACATCCTTGGACACTACGGGCAATTTAGCATGGCCAATCCACTTAACCTGCACATCTTTGGACTGTGGGAGGAAACTAGAGCACCTGGAGGAAACCCACACAGAC